CCCCCCCAAAAGGGGGGCTTTTTTTTTATCCAGGGGGGGGGGGGGGGGGGGGGGCACCGTGATATGCTGTATGCGTACATACCCAGTTGTGTCGTGTCGGGGACAAACTTCCTGTTTAGCTCTTCCGGGTGTCAGGACCGCCCGCACTTGCTTTGAAGTCAAGGGCTCGTCATGTGTATACAGTGCACGGGATAGACGCGCATTATGTTGAGGGCTCCATGTACAGCATTCGCATGTATGGAATATCGGCAGCCACCATGAAAAATGCCGACAATACAACAACAACAACAACAACAACCATCGACGGCTCACCGTTAGGAATGATGTTCTCATCGAGGATGTGTACCATCTTGCTCTTGGTGTCCACCTCTCCGTGCACGGCCGTCGCCTTCACAACGGATGCCGGCACCCATCCCAGCTTCGACGTCAGCTCTGCGGGAGGGCGCTTGAGCGAAATCTGGGAGGCCCCGCAGAGGGTGGGAGAGGAAGGGGGGGGGGGTCATAGTCAGGGTACAACAGAGAGGGGGACACAAGGGGAGAGGGCCCGCGGGTAATGCTTGGTTGCAATCCATGCGACGGTTTAGTAGACCACCGAGCGAACATTTCACTTATACTATTGACGCCCGAACCTCGCCCGTTCCGAACATTGGGGCGCCACCAAACAATTCACCATGACTTTTGATGCATTCAAGGCATCAAAACTCATGACTTGATACATTTGACACATCAAACTCATTACTTCAAACATGTGGCACGTGATACATGGCGAGAGTTCCACAGCGCCTCAACATTCCGCCTTGATCTTTCTCTATACAGCAGTGCTACATCTGTTCTAGGACTTCCCTTCCCACCTGCCCACCTGTACATTCTGCCCCCCCCCCCCCCCCCCCCCAAAGGGAAGCGGGGGCAAAGGGCCCCCCCCCCCAAAGGGAAGCGGGGGCAAAGGGCAAAAGAAAACGGGAAAGAAAAAAAGAGGACGGCCCCCCCCCCCCCCGCCCCCCAAAAAAGGGGTTTTTCCCAACCCCCCCCCCCCCCCAAAAAAAAAAACCCGGGGAAAAACTG